AAATATAGTTGATGCTTTTTATTTTAAATACTATTGTTATTTTTTGTTTTTTTTTTTTTTTCTTGTTTTGTATGCTACTGTGTAAGGGGCATAATTCTTTGAATATTTTTCTTTTTAATATAATTAAGATTGTGTTCCACTAAAGTTCACCATTAATTGTGGCCGTGTGGTCCCGGCATAGAATAGGCCACCCCTTCCTTTCCTGTGGGTGTCGTAAACGACGACTAAGGATGGGCGAGCGATGAGCAGCAGCGTTCCTTTTTAAACATCTCTAAAGTCTAACTTCAATTGCCTATCTGCATGCCAGGCATGGAAGGAGGCTTATGGACAGTGTGGACAGTTAAGGTCTCCCCCATAAAGGGGGGTTTTCCAGTAGGGTTGGCAACCGCAGTTAGACTTTGGTGATGTTTTAAGTGGAACGCTGCTGCCCATGTATCGACCATTAATTAATTCTCTTAGACGCCTTTAATGCCGCTCACGGGAAAGGATGAACGGTTTTGTTAATTCTTACTTATATATTCGAAAGTAAGTATGTTTGTTACCTTGTACCGCCTTTTAGTGGCTTAATTAAGAAATTTGGTATATATGGACTAAATAAGGACATAGGCTACTTTTTATCCTGATCAATAAAATTATCCGGGTAAAAACGCGGTTAAAAGCTAGTATTTTATACAACAACCGTATCCATTAAATTCGTATATCCTATAACGAGTGTTTACATGGCGGATGGCGCAAGTACTGGTTCAATGGGAGAATTGGCCCACTTGAAACACAACAGCGCAGTGGCTGGCCCGAGATAGCTCTCGTGTACACCCGACTTGACATGTTTTATGCTATATATTGTGCATTACAAACGGATTCCGCGGGTGTACACCAGGCCCAATCCAAAGGGTGAAGGTTGATCCGTTAATATTGCATACCGGCGTTGTCCCGCGGCGTCGCTCTCTTTGTCTTGCAATAGCAATTCTGTATTTTTGTTATGGCTAAAAATTTGTCAAGCATGAAATTTGTCGGGTAATCGAAATTCTTGAATAGGGTAATTACGGATGTAGCTAGATTTATTTTATACTAGTGGTCGCCCCGTGGTCGAAATTCGACCGTAATCGTACGTTGTAATAAATGAATTTATTATGATTATGTTGGACATTCAGTAAGACTATATAGACAAATAATTAAAAAAAAAAAAACAATCTTAATCTATTCTCAATTTGACCACAGACTTTAATAATAAACAAAAGAGTATATATGCGTGTGTGTGTCAAATACATAGCAGTGTGTGTATTTTTTTTTATTGATTTAACGTATTTTTTGCGTTTATAAAAATATTAACGTTCTGCACTCCTTCTCCATATAAACTATAAGTGTGCCAAATTTCATACTCATCGTAAAAACGAGTACAAAGTTTTGGCTTCACGTATCAATATTTATGTTATTATTTTACACTTTATTGCACCATTTATAAAATAGTAAATACATTTAATTGTAATGAGAAATGATACAAAAGGCGGCCATATTGCTAAGCAATCCCTTCCAAACAACCTTTATAGATTAAATATAGATGAAAACAACTAAATATAAATAAAAATAAAAATTAAACAATATTATTTATTTACTTTGTTAGAAATTATAAAAACATCTAGACGGAGTTGACTCTGTATATATATTTTTTTTCTAATAACATATTTAAAGTTTTTAGTAGCGGCAGGTAATATATGGCAATATTTATATATTTTAGTTACAACATCTATACATTGACCCAATAGTGTTTGTATTAAATATCTGTTATCCAATGTATAATGGCAAAATGAAGAACATCATCGGAATTTATATAGATACACATCAGACCGGTATGGGCGGTACCGAAATGGGTATGACCTTTTCTCCGTCATCATTCACCAAGAGGAGGTCTATATAGATAATAGAGCGGTGCCCATGTTGGTAGATTACGACGACAAACTTCAGAGCAAAGCTATGGGATTTTATTCACCTGCCTAGAAAATATATTAGGAATCCTTAGAATCCAGCAGAAGAGCATGCATTGACGGATATAGAAAGGAGAAAGTAGGACTCACTGACCGGGTTAACTTGCTGAGTAGTTGAAGAGCTTGGGTGCACCCTGTGGCTTTTACTCCTTTACTCCTTTTACACACGCCAACACTGGTTAGATTCACAATTAGCATGTAAAAGGCACGCGAATTATTATGTATAGATTATATTATACCATAGATTTTCTAGTCTTTTTTCACTTAAGGTATGAGCGACACAAGCTCATGTACTAGCGACCGCCATAATGATATTTTTTGTTTTACATTGAAACACAGAGGACGGCGGTCGGCGCGAAAATTTGAATTGGAGTTGTTAATAAATTAATGGGAATATATTATTACGAATGGATAAAGGAATTAGGAAAGGATGTCGGAACACATGTCTAGTTTATAAGGGAGAAATTTCATCTTTTTTTGATGGGTAAAAATGGTATGGTACCCCGCCTGCGCTAACGGGATACGCTGTTGGAGCACCAGTGAAGGGTGATAGATGAGGATGAAAACAGGCCAGTTAGCCCATCGTGATGAATTCATCAGGAATGATAATTTCCAGGGGGAACCGCGAGAAGGTCGACCTGGTTGGGTATATTGCTAGCAATTTGGATTCTCAGTCTCCATTACTAACAATCCCTTTCCCCCTATTTCATCTATTGAATTGATTACCTATAGTTTTTGATGATTTTAAAGCAACTACAGAATTTATAACTGTAACACGCCATGTTTTTTTTTTTAATTTACAAATGTTCCTATATATGTATGTTGGTATCACCTAAGTACTTATTATTATTTGTAAACGTTGAAGTATAAAAACACATTTATTTATAATATACAACATGCCATATCACAATGTTTGTTGACGCTAATCGTTGAAACCGCTCTACCGATTCCAAGGAAATATTACTATTGTAAATTATCATCAAATCAGCTATTAATAGTTCACTATTAAACATAGGCCTCCCCGGGGGAGAAAGGGATTGTTAGAAATGGGGATTAGTAACCCTATTAATAATAATATACCCTATCAGGTCGACCTCCTCGCGGTTCCCCCTGGAAACCATCGTGATTGATTAATTAGTGGATTTGTCACGATGGGCTAACTCACCAGTTGCATCTTCACCTGTCATCCCTTATTGGGGCACCAGTATATAGCCAGTGTATACCGATAGCGCAGGCGGGGTCACTATTACATTATCAAAAAAACATGCCTTCCCTACCACGGAGAATTGTCAGTAGTTGTTACGCTTGGATTTCAGAAATAAGAAACCCAAAGAAGCAGTTAGACCATCGTGATATTAACCTGAAAATAAAAATGCTAGTTTTCAGGGGAGACCGCGAGAAGGTCGATCTGACAGTGTATTTTGCTGGCAATAGACAAATTACCGACAATTCGTTTAGGAAATATTCTATCCGTGAAATTGAATGCCTTTTTTTAAATCAAAACAATATGAACCGAAAAGACAAGAAAAAACGATTTTAATTATTAACTATATCAATACTATTATTATAAAGACGAAAGATTTGATTGTTTGTTCTTAATGATAAATATAAACTCAAAAACTACTCAGCAAACTTAAAAAAATATTTCGCCTATAGAAAACTATATTGTCAGCAAGTAATATAGGTAATATATTATTTAAAAAAAAATGGAGTTCCCTGCAAAAATTACAATAACGTAGCCAAGATTTAAGTTTTTGATATTATCAAAAACTTAAATTAAATTCTAATTAACTTTCTATCTATCCGCATGAAGCAGGGGCGGGTCACTAGTGACATAATAACTTAGTAGAATTTTAGCTATTTTTGTAATAAGGATTTTGGTTACCTATTTCATATCTGTTAACAGTAAATAAATCTTAATCTACTTTCATAATCTACTTATTTACTACTTAATGATAAAATTTTTCTAAAAGCTACCAAACACCACAATTGGTCGGCATACCGACAATATTATAATGTTTAGAATTTAGTAGTTAGTTTTGTAATTTCAAAATGTAAATTGATATTTACAGTTACAAATGTAGATTCATAAAATGAGTAAGTGCTTCTAAATTTAAAAATTAAAACATTTGAGCAGGAAGTTCACGGACTCTATAATGACAAGATTAAGTGGTAAGACTAATTAAGAATATAACATTACTTAATACCTAAGTAATTAATTAAGTACAACATATAAGCGTAGTTATAACTTTGATAATGCTGGTAGACAGAGGAATTGGAATGTACAATTACAAAAATATAGAATCATGTAATGAATACTTCCAAACGCGATAATTTAAAAATGTAGATCAGAAAGCAACTCTAACAATACGTTTTGATACTGAAATTAGAATTTACAATTACAAAAGTAGACTGTCAAAATGAGTAAGTACTTCTCAATGTAAAAAATAAAAAAATGTAGAACAATAAACAACTCTGACAATTAGAGGAATTGGAATTTACAATTACAAAAACTTAGAACTACAAAATGAGTAAAAATAGTAGGATATAAAGTGAGGTAAAAATTTAAAAAGTCAATATGTAATTAACTAATCATGAAAAATATTTACTTTTCGATGGTCCATCCGGATATAGTACTTAGAAATTTAAGGGTAAGATTATATATTCGCATAATATAAATTTAAAGTTAAGCTATAGTCAAATATAATCGATAACGGAGACATGGTAATATTTTCCATTCCGTCCAATAGTGATGTTTTATATAGCATAATGACGCGGGTCTTGTCTCTACAGAGTCTACGGAAAGACTTTTTCCAAACGAAAAAATACAATTTGTTGGTGCCGTTTCGCCGGAGCGGCAAAATATCATAGCTTTGATCTGTATAATAGGTAGGTTGGTGAAGGGGCGGGGCTGGTCGAAACGAGGGGGGTTCGTGATTGGTGGATGGCACAAAGGGGGACAAGCGAGGTGTGGAGGCAAAGGTTGCCGGCTCGGTCTGTCGCCATTGTATGGTGAGGTGTAGGGCGACATCGTCGCGGCCTAGTGTCTGTGTCGGTTCGTTTTATGAAAAAAATGTTGGAATTTTACACGAACATAAACTCTGGATTGATGCAGGAAGGGATGCAGCCGCCTCTGGCCTGCGCGGGCAGAACAGGTCAGCTTAAATTATTCACTACAACATGCGATTTTTTGTGTGCATTTCCATTAGCTGTCTCTACCGGCGTTTTTAATGCTATGCTATGTTAGATTTCTAACATTGTGGTATATCAGACTATCAAATATATAGGATCATAGCTAGACCGATTCAATATTTTATGAAGCAATAGATATATTTATATATTTTCATAGAGAGATCCATTTTAGTTCTAATCCTATATTTACTGCACTAAATAAAATATATGTGATAGTGTGATATGCCCCTAATTATGCATAGGTGTATCTTAAAATTTCTGAGTTGTGCCATGTTCATACTCTGAATATTGCATAATTTAACAAATTATGTTCATAAAACTTTACATTTAAATGTTTTTTGTTACTGTATTTGTTGTATCATGCACGTAATAGTAATTGTTCGTTTTCATATATATTAGATGGTTAAAATACATTCTGTCTATGATAATTTAACAATTTATTAACCAAAATAAATATAGTTTTTACTCTGTGAACTCAAAAGATATGGAGAAAAACTGCATAAATTAAGTAACTAATACCTGCAGTATTCAAATAGATAGTATTTTTACAAAGAGTTTTTTAAGATCAATTTAATTTCCGAATAGATTTTGAAATTTCATATATTTTATAATTTGTGAATTACGCTATTTTTATACCTTAATCATATAGGTAAGAACAGATACTACATAATTCCGTAAATTGTGCTTATAAATCTTGGGTAAAAACCCAAGATTTATAAGCATTGTATTCTAGTTTTTACCCGTGACTTCGTCCCTATGACAAGGATATATTCACTGATCGAGACAAAAATTAGTAACATATTTTCTTTGCCGTCTTACATATTATGAATTTTGATATATGGTACGTACTATATAGTACGTAAAAATTAAATTAAAGTAAGGCACTAAGGGGATACACACAAATTCAATTTGGCATTTATATTTATTATTATTATTACATCAGTCGTAAGGGGCATTCCCCCATAAGGCACCCCGCTTGGCACTCAAGTTGGCAACTGCAGTTACGATTCCGTGACGTTTAAAGTGGGACGCTACTGACCATTTCTTGATCATTAAATTCCGTTGTCGCCTCTTACACCCTGGGAACAGAAAGGGATGGCCTATTCTATGCCGAAACCGCACTGCGATTACATTATTAATAATAATTTTTGTCTGTGTAAATACTGTATGTATATATAACTTGCCGTGTGGCCCCAGTATAGAATGGGCAAGCCCTTCCTTTCCCGTAGATGTCGTAAGAGGCGACTAAGGGAACTTAAAGGTTGAGGGATGAGCAGCGGTGTTCTTACAACATCATCAAAAGCCTAACAGTGATTGCCAACCTGTCTGCCAAGCGTGACCCCCTCCCCCCCCCCCCTATAGGAAAGGCCTATTTTCAAAAGTGTACAGTCAACAGTTGATATAATAATAATATATAATATAATTTGTAAGAAGAAACATAATACAGTAATTTTTTAATGGATGGTAATGGAATGGTAACCCTGCCTGCGCTAACGGTATACACTGGCGGGGCACCAGTAAGGGATGATAGGTGGAAATGAAAAGGCAGACCAATTAGCCCATCGTAATAAATACACTTGGAATTCAGCACGATAGTTTCCAGGGAGAACCACGGGGAGGTCGACCTGCTAGCAATGAAACTGCTAATCCGCATTAAATTAAAAATAAACGTACAATATATGATTAATTCATTTAAAAATTAAACTCATCATTTACGAGTATTAATTTATTATCTGATAATTAAGTACTGTTACTTAGCACTAGTTGCTGAAATGTATTGTAATGCATACAACAAAGGCACGAAACTGTGAAAAGCTAATAAGATACTTGGAATTTATAATATTACATTTAATAAAACTCTAAATAACTGTTTATTAAGTTACATAAGTAGATAGTTTTCTTTAGTTATTATTTATTTATTCTTTATTGCAAAATAAAACTTTGTACGAGTGGTTACTTGTAAAATCTGGCTTTATAGCAGACTCTTTCACCATCCAAACTACACGAGTCTAGAATGCACTGCTTGAAGATATCCGAGAACTTCCAAATAAATTCATATTCATGAGAAGAGTCCATGCTCACGTTATGAACTCATTTTAACAATAGTAGCTAATCATAATCTTTTATATTTTATTTATTTATATATTATTTATATTTTATATATCTATTTATTTGTATATATATATGCATATTCCTTTATATTAATTTAATACTTATTTTGTATAGACATACATTATTAGTTGTTATTTTTTTGACCTATTCCAATAATTAAGTACCGCCTTCGTGATTCACTCTTCATCCCAAAGGTTAACTACATAGTAGAGAACGCTACTAGCATTGAGTCCGCCTTTTGTACCTTATTTTATTTTAGTCAATAAAGTTAATTATAAAAAAAAAATTGCTAGCAAGTCTATAGGGTAGAAGGAAATAATGACGTTCGGTGTCTTATTCGTTCCTAACAGAAATAGTGATGCGCAAATTTATTACTACAACTACTAATTATTCGATTGACCAATTGTATCGAATAATTAAAAGATTTTAAAATCATTCGATTACTAATTTCATTTACCACACGCTTTTACTAATAGCTAAAATCATTAATTAATAGTAGTTCATGTACGAGTCGATACGAACGTAGTCGAATCGACCCGATTACTGAAATTCCCATTTTTCTTGTAACTCATCAGTTAATAAAGTATCAAAGTAAATTGTATTAATAAGTAAATATTTATATTTTAAACAAACGTAGACTACGTTCGCTATCGCTATCGCTGGAATGATGTCAATTTTTGTTAATTTACAGCACAAAAATTAATATAAATGTTATTGGAAATAAGTTTTTTTAGTCTTTTATTCATTATCACCTATTGTTAAGACAATGAATACAGAGAAAGGACTTTGTTTTCGACATTAGTAGATAGGACTACTAATTAGTAAAATCATTCGAATACGAAAATTTGTGTATTAGTAATTTAGTAATCGAATTATAAAATTAGTAATACCTAATTATTCGAATAATAAAACTTACCTAAATATTCTAACGATACATTCATTTGCCATTTCCTACGGTGGTTGATAGCCTACTGTTTTAAAAATTTAAGTGGAAATAAGGCTTTATAAATTCTGCCTTTAGCTGAATTTCGATTCGGAGTTCCTATGGATTTGAAATTTATATTAATAAATTATAATTAAAGTTTAGAAAATTAACAAAAATAGCATTACAGATATTAATTGATAGTATTTTCGGAACGTGAAAGAGGTCAAGGTAAGGCAAAAACTATTTGTTTGCTTTTTCTTGGTCCCTATAATAAGAGAGCGAATAAATGTAAGCTGCGTAGCTAACGTGATAATCACCTTAAGGACTTCTCTTTTAAATACTTGACGAAGAAAATAACTTAATAATATAAGTTGAAATAATATCTATTCTAAGCAAACTAGTTTTTAAACATAAATTGCGTTTCTATTTCTTAAAAAAAGGCCGAAACTTCATTAGCTATTTTCACACTTTCCCTTTAAACTTAACCTTATTGATGACTCTGTTTAAGTCATTGATTATTTACTCTTTTAATACAGTTAATTATTTGTTATATTATTTATATTTTATGTATTTATTACATGTATATATTTATTTAACTTATTTATGTGTATATTTTTATATTAATGTATATGCTTATAATATATGAATATATTAAATATTACTTTATATTTTCACTTCAATCAATAATGCACCGCCTACTTATTTCTCGGTTTGCCCAATGGTTGACTGGAGTCCGACAAATGTACATAAAATTTCACTGTGCATTAAAGTTAAATAAAAACATAAATAATGAGCATGATATAAATATATATATATATATATATATATATATATATATATATATATATATATATATATATATATATATATATGTTAATTATATGATCAAACACTTGTTTGAGGACATCTTTTGTTCTCTGTAATGAAAGTTTTATGAAAAAATCGGTGAGTTCTCAAAGAGTTGAAGTATATGAAGTGTGTATAGAGTATTGGTGTCTTTGAGAGGATCCACCTAATCTACCTCTCTATCTTCACACCAGGTCCCATATTGGATAATCGATTACAGTACTACAAATACTCAAGGATTTTACGACCTTAACTGCGTGTTTATACGTTATAATTATAATTGAAAACCTGTTAACATAAATACCGCGCTTTTTCTTAAATTTGTAATATTATTATTTACAATATTCTGTGAAACTAATTTTATTTAAGTTTATAAGATTTTAATTTTATTCCTTATGTAGTAAAATCTATTTATTGCAAAATTTGTCGCGTCACTGCAACCTTACTGAAGGCTAGCGATACGCGACTAGTAATCCGATTACTAATTATTCGACTTAGCAACTCATTTAGATTATTCCACACGAACATAGTCGAGTCGACCCGATCCGTTGGAATGTAATTTTTTTGTAAGCAAGAGTGTTGCCAATTTAAATTTAGTAAAAAATACCAATTTTTGATAAAAGTAATGAAAGGAAGTAAGTAAAGTTTTTTAAATGTATTTATACTAAATTGCGATAGTTATTTTTAAAGTAAACAGGAAAGTAAATAATTAAGTTATTATTATTATGTATATTATGATATTGATGTATTTGCTTACTTTCTTTTTCGTAGTTATTTTCACCAACATAATTTATAATAATAGATACAAGTAAAGGATTTTGTTGTAATTAGTTACTAATTAGTAAAATCATTCGAATATGTGAATTAATATTTAGTATTACTAATTTAGTAGACTAAAGTCTAAATTACTAATTATTGGAACACCAAAATCATTCGGACTCGCGCATCGCTACTGAAGGCCAGTGTTGCCGATTTTTGACAAAAATATCTTTTGAAAGCACTCGACTTTACAAATTTTAATTCACCTATAACCACATGCATCTAACAAAAATCCATATTATATTATATATTTGATGACGT